ACAATCGTCTTCCGACTGGATACTAAGATAAAGCTTAATATCGTCCGCAAGTAAGAGCAGTTTCGCATTTTGTATGCACAATTCTATATCACTGATGAATATATGAAAAAGTAGCGGCCCCAAATTCGATCCCTGAGGGACTCCCGAAGTTGGAGCAAATACATCTCAGAAGCTATTCAAGATTCTTATTCTACTCTTTCTATCCGACAGATAACTACGAAGTAAGTTTAAAAGAGACGACGAAACACCGTATAAAGAGAGCTTATACAAGAGTAAGTCTTGATTTACCTTATCGAAGGCTTTTGATAAGTCAAAATACACAATATCAACTTGCGCACGTGTAAGAACAAATGGGACAGTATACTCAAGGAGAGAACAAAGGTTCGTTTCTACTGAACGCCCTTTTATAAATCCATGCTGAACGATGCTTAGTTTTCGACAAAAGTAAAAAGAAAGACGGGTATGTAAAACTATCTCAAAAACCTTTGAAAAAGAACACAACAAAGACACGGAGCGGTGGTTATCTACCCTAGACGCGTCACCGGCTTTGTGTATTGGCACTATCACTGACCTTTTCCAAAGACATGGGAAAACACCATTCCTCAGCGATAGGTTAAATATGTGCATAACTAAAGGGGCGTTTCTCGCGCATATACTTCACGCGCTGTTGCGCGCTTGGGGCTTTGTGTCGGCTTTGGGCGGATGGTAGTGGCCCCTGGGCACGGTGGCGGACCCTTGTTCCCCCAAGTTCAATCCAAAATAAGACGAATATAGAATCCTAATTTAATTCGAGCAATTTGAAGAACCACTTTTACGAAATACGTGCCCTGCAAACCCAGAAACTGTTGTTGAACGCCGTAGAGTGCTTGCTGAGTGCACCCGTGTTTCAATGTTTGCTAAGTTCATGGCGTACCTTAGACAAAATCGACCTGTCCTCTAGGATTACGACAATAGAGAACGATGTTTGGTAAGCACTGGGCGTTTAGGGGCCCTACTTTTATCGACCACATCGCAGACATACCAACCGCAATTTTGCTCCAAACCTTTCATTTCGACAGCCAGCTTCTTTTTACTCGTCGGTACACGACGTTTCAGGATTAGACAGTGCTGAGAAAACGAGTCCGATAAAGAGACCAACAGCGCACCATGTGACATCACGATCAAGCACAGCCATTCGCTTAGATCAATATCACGTGACACGTTCTCGGTGTTTTACTGGATCATGGCCCATCTCAGCCTTGCACGGTGTACCACATCAGGCGACAACAACGTGGACAGAGGAACGGACAACGGCGAGCGAAGCAAACGAACTCCCCATTTCTTTTTCCCGCTTCTGGGTCAGCGATGGACTTTGTCCGGACATCTGGTCGAAGAAATCGACAGCTGCGGCCCTCCGCTACCTCGGCAGTGTTTTTTTTATGTACTTCTTTCTGTAACGGCCGACATTTTCTTGCTGGTGTTTGCTTTCTGCGAGCTTCGCCTCAGGTCCTTCGAGTCTTGTCGTGTGTAGAAGACAGCAAGCCGTGGTAGGCGTTCAATCGCGGATCGATCCGTGAGCGGCGATGACCAACAGGACGCTGACAAAATGTTGTCCCTGGTCGCTTTAAGTTTAGGGGACTGTGCGTGGCCCTAGCCAACTTTAAAAATGTTGTGCAGGGAAGTATCATTGGCCTATAAAATGAAACGTTCAAGGACACCTTTAAATAGAGTTCACAGTGTTCATGAACGCACAGAACATTGAATGTTGGAAAGACGAAGATCTTGTCCGAGCTCAATAATTACGGGTGGCAATTTAGAGCCGGAAAAAGATAAACGGGATTAAGGAAACCTAAAGATCAGATATACAGCAGTTCTGAGAATTGAGAACAAAGTACGCAGTCAGCTCGCTGCGCCTTTCCATAGGTGGCGCAACAAGTTACTACCATCGCTAACTTGGTAATATGCGAACGCAACGGCTGTTGACTTTGGCAAGTTCGTTTGTCTCATTTCTTACAAGCAGAGGACTACGCCTTAAAATGTCCCAAAGTAAAGCTGACCACCGCAGCGCATATTCTGTGAAAGTTAGTTTCCTGCGTGCAGGCGCAGATTTGGCCGGATCGTTTTAAAGAGTACACTCTGCTGTGCGCACCTTATACATGACCTGAATATAACGCCGTTGCACAAGGCTGGTGGTCACTGCTACTTGTTCTTAATTAAAAAAAAAAAAACGCATTTCGTGAGGCCAAAGGTGTGCCGCAGAAGGTATGTGCTCAGTAGAAAGACCACCACGACGGCTTCCGACCTGATGTCATTGCAAGCCATGCGCACGCCGCAAAGTCGTGAGTGGATCAAGGATACCTTATTTTCATTCCATCTTTAACATGCCTGTATAATTTCTGATATTTTGAGAGCAATCAACAAAATTATTCGAACAAAAACCTGAACTGTAAAAGTAATACACCTATTTCTGAATTGCTTAAGTAACAAGGAACAAGCTGGGAATATAGATACCCGCGCCGCACCCGCTGGCCTTCCCTTTATTAAATATTTAAAGTTAATGCCCAAAATAAGGCGTTGACGAATGAAAGATGCCATGTATTTTAAGCTTTTCTATTAGAAAAGACCAGGAACTGCAGACGGGAGCATGTGCACCGCGCATAACTAAGCTCGCAGCCTGCTCCTTAAAGGGGCCATGAAACGAATTTTGGGTTGGGATGAAGGATTTTAAATTGGGACTTTACTAATTGCATATCGTTTAGTTGGCCAAAAGAATGAGGCTAGAAAGTCAAAAGCCAGCTTTTCGGTACGAACATTTGAAAATATAGCGGACTATTTTGTACCTTCTTGCCTTCGAAAGCTTTCCGCCTTCTCACTATGATACATCCACGGCTCCAAAAGCGCGTCACCGGCGCCAAACTGACGTCAGCAGAGCCCAGCTCACGCATTGGACACGAGAACTGCGCCACTCGGATGTATGCGCTCGTCAACAATAAATCCGTCGACGAATATTTGGATTCGCGTTCGTGGCCAATGAGTGCCCTGACGGAACTTATTGTCACTGGGGAATGACAAGTTCTATGATGTGCATAAAAAGCACGGTGGAAGCTAGGAGTCATCGCACCGGTGCCAAAGGAATGTCACGACCACGTGATTTCACAATTCGCATATGAGCTGAGGATTAAAGCTAAGGAGGAAGAAGTAGGACAATCGTTTCATGACCCCTTTAATGCTTGGGTAGGGCGATCGGTGACCCGGTGGTCTAGCGCACACCAGCTCGAAGCATGTGGAGCGAAAGCTCGCGCTGCAGAACCCAGGGATCCTGAGTTCAATCATCTCCCCTGTCCGTTTCGATCTAGATGAGCATCGTACCGGCGTGCGGTCGTACTACTGCGTGGTGCTGCGTGGTGCACGTGAAAAACATTAGGCTAGCGATTTGTACTGCACTGACTAAATTTCGCATCTACAGCTGGGAGACAAGTCGCCTGTTGAGGCAGACTAAGCTCTAGGCTGTGTAAACACACACACAGCCCAATTGCTTTTTTGGAGCTTGGGTAATTTAGGGAAAAGACAAATGTGAATCCAGCTTGTCTGCTTACGTCTTCAAAAACAGTTTTCATAGGTCAGAGCGATCTTGTAGCGGTTCTAGAAGCTCTAATGTGTTCCGCAGCAATGGTGGTGACAGTACAGGGTGTCTCCCCGAAAAATCACAGTTTTTTTATGTTTTTTTTTTTTTTACCGCACAGGATAAACTAGACATCACCGAACCGTAATTCTCCGCCCAGAAAATGCACTAGAGGTCCGAACAATGCAGGTGTTAAAATTTTAGCACGAACTGACATTTTATTCAAAAGTTGCGTGATTTTCTCAAAAAATTTCAATATGAAAACGGCGCCCACATTCGCCCATTTTTTGGTTTTTGCCGCCATAAATCTCCATGTATTCGAGAGCTCCGTCGGCCACCATTTTCTCAATGAAATCTCGGAGAATCACCTATAACTTTTGAATATAATATCGGTTCGTTCTAAAAGTTTGTCATCTGGTTCGGGTCTTCAGCGCCCCCTTTGGGCGGACAATGAGCATTCGGCAAAACGTAGTTGAATTTTGCGGCAAAAAAACCCTGCGCATATTTTTCGGGGACACCCTGCAGAACAAGACCGCCTAAGTACAATCACCCTCAACCTCGTGCATCGGAACCCAAGCACAAGGATCAACTTGATACAATCGATTGTCCGCTTTCTGCTTAGTGCTTTCGAAAACGTTCGCTTTTCCTGGCGTGGAGGAACTGTGTAGTGCCGCCATTGGAGCGTCGAGTTTGGCTCTGGGCAGGGTGGCTACACTGACGTTTGAAAAAAGGTATGTTCCTAAAGGAGCTGTGCAACGATATTCAGTTGGAATGTTTTTCACTTTACACGAGCTTACTGGCACTAGTGGGGCTCAAGGATACTCGCACGCAACTCCGCTGGCCAAGAAACTCCTTTGTTGCGGTGTAATTTCAAGGACAAAAGCGATCATTTTCATTCAATCTCTCTTTTGCAAAATTTGATGACGTAATGGGGGGATCGCAGAACCCCCAAGTGACGATAATTGAATGCTGTTCATAGATTGGACCCGAGCATTGCGTGGGCATTCGATTTGGGCACGTGATAATTGCTAGCTCGAGAAGCATTCGGGTAGTGGCCCGTGTCCAATCGCTGCAATGACGACAATAGCCGAGCCATAACAATATCTGGAACTCAGCTCGTGCCCTGTGCTTTGCCAACCCCAGCGCGTGGCTATGATCTACATTGGCGGCATATAATCGGCTCCAGATCACGTGGCCGCTTGTTCTGGCTGCGAGTTGAGGGAGTGAGCGCTGCTCGTTTTTCTTTAATTTTTTTTCTGGGACTTCTATTGAGTGGGGTGAAAAAACGAACGCATGTTTCATAGGTCATTAATGTCAGGGATCCGTTCTAAGCAGTATTTGCGCAAAGTACAAAAATTGTTGCATCGCCCCTTTAACGTCGACTCTCTGGGGTGCTTACGATTCATGTTGACGATGATGCTCGTGGACACTGGTTCGCTGATGTTGCTGTTCACGGCCCTGCACGTGAGTCTGGCCATGTAGTCCGCCCTGGACAACCTCAGTCGGAACAGCGTGGCCCTGGGATTCCCGTTGGGTGTCCGACTGAGAACTTGCTGCAGGAGCTCAGACCCTCGCCACCAGGTCACCACGGGCTCTGGTTTCCCTGCGTATCAAGAGGGACAGCGCTTACTTATAACATCCTACTTTGAATCAGCTTCCATATTTTGTCTCACTTTACGATGGACTGAAGGCAAAAGGTAACGGCCCGCCAGGTCTAATTACGAGCCACTTAGAAATTGCGTGGTATTGAGATTTGATGCACGTATCAGTGCTCGCGTCTCGGATCACAGATGGGGATGGGCGGACAGTGGTTCGAATCCAATAGAAGTGAGTGACTCAACAATGTTGCATTGAAAAAAAGGTATACTGGCTGCTTGCAGTGTCGAAGCTATAGAAATGAGGCAGCGTTTTTGGTTTCGGATCATTATTCGTCCACCCCTAATCAATGCTAGGCATGTCACAGTTTAGCGTGGAACGTGATTGGACCTGGCGGCCGTGGCTTTGGCCTTTAGTTCATCGTAAGATAAGACAATGTATATACTCCATCTTAAGGCCATATTGCGTATAAATAAACCAAGGAATGAAGTGAATTTAAAACTTTTTCCCATATATGTCTTTAGGTGATGCATTCATCCTACTCAAATTTAATAGACGTAAATTCAAAAAAAGAATATTTTTTTTTGTGCACAAGAAGGAAAAGCGTGAATACCGTCTGATTAATGGTGCTACTCAAATATCGTACCACACACGTTCGGACCTGCCAGATGTGCTTTCGGATATTTATTTCAAAGAAGCTTTCACCTTTTTTTCTTTATGTTTTGCCATCTGTCACTAGCAGTGTCAATCATTTGTTACTAATCCTCCTTTTCATAGGTAAACGAGACAGCATATTTGTTTTAGGATTAAGTCTTCACTAAAGTTTTTATTCATGTAATTCGTGTATATTAAATGCATCACGTAAAGACATATTTATAAACATTTGTATCATACTCAGATTTTTTCTTTATAAACCATCTTGTATTTACGTTCTCGGAAAAAATAAAAATTTTCTAAGTGTATAGAAGCTGGATTTATTACGGTCAATATATTTGCATGTCCCATCACGGCGCAGCCGTAGCGTCTCAACTTTGTATCTGTCGTGTATGTTTTCTATGTCCCCTTTAACAACTATCCAGAAAGATTACAACATTTATACGTTTCTCATCTGTGGAGGGCGTTCCTTTTCAATATGACATCGTAATTTTACTGGGCCTGCATGCTATTGGTAGATGCAAGATGGCAGCTCGTCGTGCGGATCTGGATGCCCGTCCGGTACGGTATTATTTCATTGAAAATGTAAACTTGATAGCAGCTGTGCATCAGAGAGTATGTCTGGAACTGGAGTGGTTATCTGCCTTTTTGAAGCTGTCGATGATCAGAAAATTTTAACAATTCTCACCGCCTCTCAAAACCTAACAGGCGGCGTTTTATCGCCGTCTTCACTAACGTCGTCAATATAATATTGTACATGCTCAAGTGAAATGTATCGTGCATTGTGAATCTTTGTTCACTGTCGAAATCTTGCAATAAAGAAAAACAAAAGATCACTGGCCGAGTTGCAGTTTTGACCCATATGCCCACCGTCTGTGCTTCCATGCAATAAAGAAGAAAAAAAAGATCGGTGGCCGAGAGGGCTAGCGCACACCAGCTCGGAGCACGTGAAGCGAAAGCTCGCGCTGCAGAACCCAGGGATCCTGGGTTCAATCCCCACCCCTGCCCGTTTCGATCTGGATGAGCATCGTACGGTCGTGCGGTCGTGTATCACTACTGCATGGTGCACGTTTAAGACGCCAGGCTAGCGGTTGCGCCGCACTGGCTAAATTGCTGATCTACAGCTGAGACACCAGACGCCCACTAAGGCAGACTAACTTCCGGCTGTATAAAAATACACACAAAAATTTGCATTAAAACATATTTAATACGTCTACACTATTTCATAATTTTAATCAAAGTCCGCGTAAATGACAGTCACCTTTCTGAGCATGCCAAGGCATGTCTTGCATCTTTTTTTAGTTTGGTTTGTTTAACCTCTGTCGTTTGATGTCAGTGCACCATCCAGGAGACCGATAGAGTAGTTTGTGGGTACAAGCAACATAAAGCAATATTATTATTATTTATTAGAGACTTTTAGCAAACCGTTACCGTGTTCCGCTTACCGCACTACCGGAGTTTTTCAAGCATATGCTTTTAAGCGAGCACCCAGGTGTCATGGTATCACCTGGGCGCGCTCTTAAAAGCATGCTCCAAAGGCTCCGGTAATGCTGTACGCGGAACACGGTAAAGATTAGCTAAACGTTCCTATTATAATCGTCGTTGGGGGTATTCTTTATACGCTTCAATGACGAAGTCTAGAGGATGTTTTTAAAAAAACAAGTTCTTTGTTTTAATTTTCAGCCTGACATAACACTGGGAGATATCATGCCACGTGTAACAAAGCGGTCTGTTTTGTTATTGTTCAAGAAAATTTGCTTAAAAATATAGAAATACCCTCTTAATAGTTTTTAAACGAGTACCCCAATAAAACATCCTATATATCCTATAAACGCATATGCTTAAATAAAAGCACACACGAACTTAACAAGAACATATAAGAACAATATAAAGTTATAAGAAACTTTTTAGGAGTTTCTTATAACTGTTTATATAATATTATATTGTTCTTATATGTTCATATAAGGTTCTTGTGTGCTATTATATGATCTTATTTTGAATTATGCGTTTATTGGACCAAGAAATGTCTTATACAGATACGATTTTTTACTAGGGTATTTAAACAAGTACGTCCATTTAGCATGAATTAACTTACCCTTTAAATTTACCATAAAACGATTTGATTATTATTTAATTTCTCCAGATACTGAATAATATAAATTGTTACCCTTAGAGCTTACCAAATACGGGTTAGCTTTTCACTTCACGCACGAGCAGTAGAGCCAAAACCTAATATGCTTTTCGTAAAATGTACAGGCTGTCGCAAAAAAAAAAAAATTACATGTTTTTCTTTTGTTTTTGTTTTTTACCGCAAAAATAAACTAGACATCGCCGAACGCTCATTCTCGGCCAAAGGTCACAGCCAGATGCTAAAGTTTTAACCCGAACGGACACCTTATTCAAAAGTTATAAGGTACTTTCTAAAATATTTCAATGGAAAAATGGAGCCCATTTTGGCCCGTTTTCGGTTTCTGGTGGCATAGAGCCTCATGTATTCGAAAACTCCGTCGGCCGCCATTCTCCCATTGAAATTTTCAGAAAATTACGTATAACTTTTCAATAAGGTGTCGGATCGGGCTGAAACTTTGGCATTTGGTTGTGACCTCTAGCACTACACTCTTAGAAAAAAGGGTCAGTATAGTCCTCCCTAAAGGGAGGAACGCTCTTGACACATATGTTCCTTCAGAAAGGGAGAAACTTTCGTCCCTTAAGCAGGGGAGGAAAAGTTCCTCCGTGGACTGCATCTCATTATGGCGGCCACGAATCGAGCAAATCGAGCTCGGTAAGGCTTAACGAGAACACTAAGTCTATTGCACGAAGCGAGAGGAGCAGGAAATAAAAACGTAACACGAGCTTTCCGCGAACTGTATTTATTTCCGAAGTTTCTTTACCCCTGCAGGTAAAGAAACTTACGTTTTGAAAGCATGCAGTCACTCAGTCTTCTCGTCGACAGCACTGCGATGTTCAACGGAGACAACCGGCACTCAGTTCGCGCACTTTATGTCCTACCTTTGCTATTCCTCGAGCCACAATTCCTTCGTCAACCGTTGCGTCAACCGCACATCACGGAGGAGTGAAAACCATTCGCCCGCAAAACCAAAAGCCGCTCTAAAAAAAAAGCAAATCCGAAGCAACCTCTTGGCTTATCTCAGCACGGTAACACGAAATTATGGCGTAGCCGCGTAGCGTAAAAGGATGTTAAATCGCTTGCCACCACATGGCAGGGTCAAGCAGAGTAATCGCACGTAGCTAGGCTAGGTGGCGCTAGGTGCCGCCCAATTCATGTTTTACAAAAAAAAAAAAAAATTTATTTTCTTACGCCACAATTGCGTTTCCTTTCCTACGGAATCTCTAACACATGTAGACACGTTGCGCACACTACAAACATCAGGTCAACATATATTTAACGCATACACAGGCATCGCACATACAAACATCAATACAACAGCACACTACCCCGATCACTACTACCGAGTCCTGCGTTTCCGTCTTTAATAGTGGTCGTTTTGAACGTACGGAATTTTTCGGTGACTCCCTAAGCAAAAAAAAATATTCCGAACATGTTCATTTTTTTCCAGCAATGTCATACATCTGGGGCTATTTTTAATGGCTCAAGGGATGAATCTCTTGTTAAAAAGAAGACGCTCGATCATGCCATAATTATTTGAAAGCCAATAAATCGAGCCGCTCCAATGTGGTTCCAAGCCATGAGTTTGTTTTCCCGCACGGCCCTTCGTAGCCAGTATTTATATTGTGGTGTTCGTTTTTCTATTTGTGCTGTTCGCGCAAAGCTGCAACTGCCGTCTTGAATTAATCTCTCTAGAGCGGATATCCACTCAGCTGGAAGTGATGCTTCACGGGCACAGAAATCGCTTTTCGATCAACTTGAATGCAGTCAAAGCCGCGACTTTTACGGAGCTGCGCCGTTGCGAGCTCGAAAACTTCTAGCGCTCATCCCAGCGCGCCACTTAGAGGGCATTTTCTACAGGAACCGTAATATATTTAAACAGTAAATTAAAGGATAGCGTTTTTTTTTTTTCGATTTTGCCTGTCTTTTTTTTTATGCTAAACTTCCATTATAAATATACGTACTTTCCGTCATACTTTCGTAGTGTTGTCTTTTCCCCAGAGCGCAATCGCTCTCGGGGACCGAGTCACATTGGCCACTGTACGATAGGAGCTTACCGTTCAGACCAGCGTTCCAACATGACTATCCACACGTCGATCGACTGCACCTAATCCCTCAAGTGGTTTTAAACTCTTTAATGTAAAGCGGAATGTCATCCTGCGACACCCCGGCCCCTCCGATAACGGCCCGACCAGCGGCATCAATGCCCGACAGTTTACGTCATC